GACCTTCGACTGCGCGTTCGATAACGGCAAGTGATCTTTCATCCTGCTTACGTAGCGACCAGGTTTCTGCTGCATACGTTAGGGCAGGGATAATTGTCGAGTCGAAAAGGTGGGCACGGAGTCGGATGTTCTTTGTCCTCTTCACTACATCTTCGATGCTCTTAAACGTTCCCCAAGCCGCTCGTTTCCTCCTGCTCAACTCTGGGGCTAGGTCGTTCATCATGTTGATTTCACGACCTAGATAGATGTAACTGGAGCATTCGGAAATTGTCGTTCCGTTGAGCGTGAATGGGGCATTAGAAACCCATCCGTTCCTCATGAACATTGTTTTCGTTAGATTCAGTTGAAGACCGATCTTTCCACAGGCGTTATCGAAATCAGTCAACATTCGTTCCGCTTGGCTGATGTTTGGTGTTATGAGAACGATATCGTCAGCAAAGCGAAGATGGTTTAATTGTCGACCGTCAATTTTCACTCCCATTTCGTCCCATTCTAATGTTCGCATGACGTTTTGTAGGGTGGCAGTGAATAGTTTTGGCGATATTGTATCGCCTTGTCGAACCCCTCTTCTTACGTCAATGGTGATATTGTTGTAGAATGGAGATATTCTGGTCGTGAAATCTTTATAAAGCTCACGAAGGATCATTATGTACCGAGTAGGGACGCCCTGGTTATCCAGAGCCTCTATAACCGCTTCTGTTTCCACTGAATCAAAGGCTTTCTTCAGATCGATAAAAGTGAGACAGAGTGGTTGTTTGTACTCTCGCGAAACTTCAATGAGTCTTGTGATCGTGTGGATGTGGTCCATGGTACTAAATCCTTTTCTGAACCCTGCTTGTTCGCATGGCTGTCCTTCGTCCAGTGTTCTGTCAATCCTGTTCAGGATGACTCGAGTAAAGAGTTTATAGACAACGGACAGCAAGCAGATTGGGCGATAATTGCCTATGTCGTGAAGGTCTCCCTTTTTGAACAACAATACGGTCTTGCTGGTTTTCCATTGAATAGGGACCTTGCATTCTGACAGGTAGCGAGTGAAGAGCCGAGCCAGGGTGTTGATGAGAACTGGCGGCAGGTTCTTCAGGTGTTCTGGTCTAATCCTGTCTGGACCGGGTGTTGTTCTGTTTTTCACCGACGATATAGCATGTCGGATTTCGGAAGGAAGGACCGGTGGAACGACATATTCGTCCTCTTTCAATTTATATGACGGTAAGAGAACATGGCTAGCGAAGAGATCCGAGTAGTACTGGTGGATGATTTTCTCCATAGCCCTTCTGGAAGCTGTAAGTGTCCCGTCAGGGTATCGGAGTGCAATCATCTTGGTCTTATAGTTGGCGAAGCCTCGCTGGGCTTTGCGAATGCTCTTCCCAGCTTCTGCAGCTTCTGCCATAACTGCTGCTCTTCTCTCTTTAAGGTCTTCTTTTATCGCTTCTCTGCATCGTTTCGCAAGTTCGGACGTAAGGTTTCGGTTGCCTGCGGCTCGTGCGATTCCACGTTGACGTATCAGCTCGAGTGTCTGCGGAGACAAGCGTCTCTTCGTGACCTTAGGACTTTCGGCTTTTTTAGCGCCAACGTGAAGATATTCAACGAGTCGATCGTATTCTTCGTCGATGTTGTCGACAACGGTATCTTCCCAAGAGCCGACTAATGATTTGAATACATCCCAGTTTATGGTAGTTCTGGGACTTCGTTGTTTGAATTTAGCGGCTTTCTCTCCTCTCCTCGAAAATCGGAACGTTGCGCGAAGGAGGCGATGGTCTGATCCCGTGTAGAACTTGGGAACAACAGCGACGTCGGTCAGGCAAAACCTTCGATTTACTATGATGTGATCTATTTCGTTATGGTACTCTCCATTGGGAGACTCCCACGTCCATCGCTGAGAGAGAGGCTTTTGGAATTGCGAGTTACCATGGATGGTTTGGGTCGTCATGATAAACTCGGATAGCCTCTCACCCTGTTCATTCCATTCTAGTCCGTGGGTCCCTATGTGACGTTCTTCAGACGTTCTTCTAGGTCCAATTTTTGCGTTAAAATCTCCGACAATGACCTTGAAGAATGTATGATCTTCTCTGAAGAATTTTTCGAGGTCCATATAGAACGCTTCGACTTCGTCTTCGTCATAGCTTGATGTTGGTGCGTAAGCAACGAAGATGGTCAAAGCCGGCATAGAACCACATCGTTTCAACCGTAATCGTCCGATGCGGGTTGTTAGTTGTTCGAACGAATCAATGTTCACGGTCAAATTCGATTTGACGAGGACGCCAACGCCACCGACACCTCTGCGATCGCATGTTCCAAGGAACAGTTCTTCTCCGGTGTCATAGACAGCGTGAAAAGGATGGCGCCTTCTCGTCTCAGCCAGGCCAATGACGTCGTACCTTATTCTTCTTGCTTGAATCAACAGATCTTCTACAGCGGATTGTTGAGCAAGGGTTCTTGCATTGTAGGTACAGATCGTCATTTTAGTCCGTTTCGATCTTGGCAGCCTAGTTCGGCCCTGAGATTTTAGCAGCCTCTCCGTACTCGTCCTACCTGGCGCTGCCGTACCAGGGGCTCTTTCGGGGTCAGGGGAATGAGGCCCATATTTGTTACTGTTTTTGGCATTTTTGATACCCAACGTGTAGCTTGCCAGGCTCTAAACGTGGGGGCTGGGTACTCACGAGTAGCTTGCCAGTCTCTCTCGGAGGAGCGGGAGGAGCTTATTTGTTGGAGGCGACTCCTAACCGCCTCCCATGTACTTCCCAGCCGCTTGATTGCAGGCTTTTGGCCGACTTGACTCGTAGAAATAGAGTTTTGTCAAGTCGGCACTGCAGAAGCAGGGAGCTCGTCCCCTGAATCCACCTGCGTCTCTGGGAAGCACACGGTCGCTTTTGGTTCGCGTTTTATTCCCCTATCCACCACCTGGGGACGCGCCACGTGCCCTCGCGACTAACCGGGCGGGATCCCTCAAAGGGGAGGTCCGTGGAGCGTGCAGCATATGCACGTTAAATACTATTGAAGAAAGTCCAACTATAACTATATACAACGCACACTGAACTTAAACGAGTCTAGAAATTAGAGTAGTAAAACATAGTAAACCCTAATGAGAAAATAACCCTTTCATACAAGTGCGCTATGTCATCAAACTTTCAAAACTTTTCAAAAATGAGAAAAGTATTGCGCAATGTAGAGTAAACAGTGCCTGTCGGTTCTGTGAGGAGTGGGGAAACTATATGGCTACTATGTGAGGCATGAAATGTAACTGTCGCGTCGAAAAGTAGGCAGGAGTCGGATGTTCTTTTTTCCTCTTAACTACATCGTGGGTGGCCTTAATCGCGCCCCAAACCGCTGGTTTGCTCCTGGTCAACTCTGGAGATAGAGTCGATAATCATGTTGATTTCACGATCTAGAGAGACGCAACTGGACATTCGGAGATGTCGTTTTGTTGGGCGTGTATTAAGCATTCACAACTCATCCGTTTCTCATAAATATAATTAGTTGGCAAGTAATAATTGTAGTAAACAACATGCGAGTGGTTTGGTGCATAAGTTATGAGGAAGCAATGTGCAGGTTCGGTCAACTCCGCACCACTCTCGTCAATTAACTGGAAACGCTTTGGCTTCAGTATCCTAAAGTTTGCAAGGAGATCTATACAAGGCTTACTGATTACTGGCATTTACTCTGGTCACGTCGACGATGTGCTGGGATGACAGATGATGCAAAAAATGCAAAATCGTACTTTGCAAAACATTGTGCCTATATAATTCACTTTGCCACGAACTGCGCCCTTTTCTTGTATTTGATACATGCACGAGGTTGCCACGTTCTTTTCCTCAAAAGTCGATGACTACCATTTCGGCGACGTCGCCTTGGTCAGAGCCTAGACTTATAAATCTTACCATATCTGACTACTCGGTCAATATTTCGCATACATCAAAAATCCAATAAAAAAAACCAATCGTCCAAACATTTATACCTAAGAGAATTGAGTGGTGAGACAAAAACACGGCCTCAGGAGGGAATCAAACCAGCATTTCATCTTACCCGGAAACGCGTGCTCTACCACTGCACCACCGAGGAACATTTGCATCACCACCACTCATTCTTCAAAATCTTTATGGTAGCTATCAGCCACCAACCATTATCAGGTTTGGGTGGGGTATGCGCTTTCGCTTTAGAAACCCAGTTGAGCTGACAGCCATTGCACTAACTAATACTCTAAACTTTTGGTATTTATTGCATTTTTCGCCAGTGTTATTATGCCTCACATATACCTAATAGAATTGAGTAAATACTAGAAATTTCGAGTAATAATTAGTGCAATGGCTGTCAGCTCAATTGGGTTTATAAAGCGAAATCGTATATCCGACCAAACCTGCCAAAGATAAGTGCCTTATAGCTAACTAAAAAAGATATTGAAGAATGATTGGTGGCGTAAATACATTGGTGGTGCAGTGGTAGCACATACCCCCGGATAGGATGAAACGCTGGTTCAATTCCCGCCTGAGGCCATGTTTTTGTTTACCAATCAATTCTCTTAGGTATATATGAAGCATAATAACACTGCGAAAAATGCAGTAAACACTGGAAATTTGGATTATTAGGCCAATCATTCTGAAAAACCCCACCTTATTCAAAGTTATATGGACAGCGGTCACCGATCTTGTGTGACACAGCTTGAAAAATGAACTTCGCTCAGACTGAGTCCGGTGACAACTTTCATAAAACTAAATGAGGTGAGGTTTTTCAGAATGACAACACTGTTAATTTTTTTCTATTGAAATTCTGATGCATGCTAAATATTAACAGAGTAATCAGTATGATATGATATATGTATCTGCACTCTGACGAAGACGTTGCCGCCAGAACCGTTAGCCATCGAGTTTCGAGGGGATGGAAGTGCCAAACTTCGTGCAAATTTTAATGAAGAAAAGGACAGTTCTTGAGAAACTTTGCATTTCCCTGAACATGCCGAAATTTAGAGATAGTCGGACTTCTGAGCTTTCATTTTACCACTTATCTAAACCGGATCACAATTTATTCCACGGTGTGAGCCCCAGTATCTCTAGTTAATAATTCGCTTTTCGTCTTTTTTCAGGAACATCTGAAAACATTGCTCAAGCACGTCTCTTTGCAACCTCAAGGATGGTTACATTGTAGAGCTCCGTAGGTGTTCAATGCTGACTGCTCGAGAGTGGCGGTAGGCTGTGGGTTCAACTCCGCATTAAGAATCACAGTCATTCGGCCACAGCCTCGTTCTCTCTCTCCCACATCTCATATAATGTTGTGATATAGCTGTGTAAAAGTGTTTATCAGAATTCGTCGACTCAGTACAGCTTTATAATGAAAATGCAGAAAGAATGCTGTAGCTAAACTCGTCGATGCCAGCGGTTGAAACTGGGAACTGTTCACCGTAGATATTACAACGCGAAAGTGCTCATTTAATTCCTATCGCCTTTCGTGAACGATTGTGATGATAATTCTACGTCGCTGACTGCGCTTTTGATTTGTCAGTCGCGAAACAGATAAAAGAGATGTTAAAATATACATTCAGGAACGTCGACTGATATACAAAACATTTGACTCCAGACGAGAATTGATTCCGTTTTTCACACACACCGCGTCGAAGAAAGAAGTATACGAAAGCGATGGCCTCAGTAGCGTGTTGATAGCTCACTCCACCAGTAAGGGTGAAACTGGGTTCAGTCCGGTCCTTGGGTCGAATGGCATGCATATCACTCAACATACTTAGATGAGTATTTGAAACACTACTAAACAAAGAATTATATAGAATAGGCGAAACAGAGTCTTCACGGTATCAGACTGCAATTTCTTGTCCACATTCAGGAAATGAGCGGAGTTCTTTGCTCAACACATCATGTCGTTCACTACGGGGATAAGACTCGCGCGGTGAAGTTCTCCATCATGTTTATCAAATCGCTAGAGGTGCAGCCGTTTGTGGAAAGATCTTCAAAATTTGAAGTCCAATTCAACGCATCAGAACATTTTTGGGAAATAAGAAGCGAGAAATACTGTTATCCATTGTCGGAATCAAATTGAATGCTGTTCCTTCATTCCGGTGAGACACAGCAAAATTCTGGAACGTAGTTTTGTATAGGAAATCTTCATTTTCAGAGATCTAGAATATTGAATGAGTTAATCTGATGGTTTATTATAACAAAAAAAAAACCCTTCGTAGTTCTCAGCTAATTTTTTCAAAATATGTGCGAAAGCTGAGTTCAGTTATCGAGAATTTGTAATCGCTATACAAATGAAATGAGACATCACTGTGCAGAATATCCAGTAATATATTTTGTTTCGTCTGCACATCATGAAGAAAATGCATAGGATTGACGGCGCGCCATGAACATACACTTCAATAAACAAGGTTGATTCTGAAAGGTAATCAAGGTGGCCTCTCCTCACCGTCACTTCACTCGCATTCTTAACAACGTCTACTTACTGCCACTTTTCGATGCATGACCAATTCTACCAAAGTATAAAACTATTTTCACTCACTACAAGACCTCCTACCTTGATCTTTCGAGACAACGTGTACCACATGACTACAGTGATGCTGCACACACCTTTTCTTGGTATCCTCGTCCAGCACAAAATTTTCGATAGACTTTCAGTGATATTTCAAAAGTTGAAAAATGCGGCTTTAAGACTGCGCTTGATTCAAATGCTTTTTTAGTGAGCTTTAGCGACTAAGAGAATATTACGTTTTTTCTGCACAATGTATAGTGTGCTTTGCCCTCGTGTATGGTTAGGTTATGTTCCATACACAGCTCGTAGTTATGCGATACTTGAAAAAAATTCTGATTTCGAAAGTAAATTTGAATTCCGAACAACGTTCTTATTGTGCTATAGTAAACGACAGAGTGAAATTATTTTCGTGTTTCCATTTCGCTTCTAAGTGAGCCAGTAGTGGTAAACTGAAATAAATTGGGATTCAGATACTTGACTTGTTTCAGAAAGCTTTTTTGGTGCGCTGTAGCATCAAAGAGAAAATTGCTAGGTCTTTTCATAAGTTTTGCTACAGAGCAATAATAATATGTCCAGGTAAGACGAAGCAGGCGTCTGTCTAGCACTTAGACTTTGACGGCTCATAACATGTTATATCCTTATAAGATATTGTTTTGAACGAGGTTTACAAGAAAAGCGGTCGAATGGGAAGGCTTCGAGCAGTAGACATAATATCTCGATAAAGTCAATATTCTGCTGATTGTTGTATGATCACAGTCAAAATCGTCGACTAACTCCTCGATGGTCAATGTTGAATCCTCCTTCGTTATATCGATAACAGCCTCTCAATCAGCCGCGTCGACCACTGGAGCCAGCTGGTCCTTCAAGTTAATGTTGTGGGGGCCAAACTCATCAAAGAGCAGAAACATTGTTTTCCTGAACACAGATCCTTGAGCGTTTACACGGTTGATGCTCTCGAAGGCGGTCTGCACATCGTGTCCCAAATCCTACTCGTAAAGCAGCGAAATGCAGTAAAGGCTTCGTTGATCGGTCGTGATGCGGCAAGTATGGGTAAATTTGCTATCAAAAGAAACTCAGAAAATGCTTTACAAAGCGGTACTGATGTGTTGCCTGAGAAATAGCAGAAGTGTGTTTAAGCTGATGGCGCACACTTTGAGTGGTGTTGCAAAGAATTCCAATTAATTCTGCTTATTAAGTTTCGTGTTTATTGTTCTAATCCCATAACTCACAAGGAGACTTGATACGATTAACCTTCGCACTGTGTATGGGTGTGTTTGCGCTTGTGTTTGCGTGGCTTTTTCGCCAGACAGAGCGTTTTACTGAAGTTATTATTTTTGATAGATGGAAAAATGGACAGTTTTAATATGAGACTTGTTACTATGAAAGTTTTCATAATCCACTGTCGTAAGGTGGAAAGAAAATCACGTTGCACCTTCAACAGTTATTATTTGTAAGGATGGCAACGGTCCGTGACTTTTTAGAGATTTAGTGTATGATAAACATCCATTCGATATACAAAGTTTTGATTATTTCGGATCTTGGTCTAAATTTTGGAAAGTCTTTATAGGGGACTATAAGATCTAAAAAAGACAACGTTTTCACCTATAGTAGCTAGCCATTGGTTTAAAATTCAAAGCGTGTTTAACTTTTATGTAAAACGAAAATAAAAAGCCATTATCTATAAAATGTCAAAACAGAGTTTTTTTGTAATTGAGTCAAAGTCAAAAACTTCTAAATAAATAACGAAAATAGCACTCCTTCGAATCGACAAGCGAAATCGTTGTACGCTGCGCTAGCAGATGGAGCGCAAACTTCGTTAATTTAGAAGGAAATGTAACTTTCATTTTACTGTGACAGCGCCCTATGAATAACTTTTAGAAACATCAATTGAGTTCAAACTTGTCAAAATTCGAATGGAAAGCCCGCGGACCCAAGACGGGCGACCAAAGAAGACTGAATGTGAAACATAGTCTTATGTCTGCTATCAGAGTGCACTACAAAGCTTTTATTGGAAGTCAAGTAAAGCATCGTAAGTCCGAAAACTGAGCTATCGAATGATAATGAAATGAGCTTGGAAGAAAGACTTTCTTCATTGAAAGATGCAAAGTTAGCTATCTTTTATCTATTTAGCAAAGGCTTTGGTATATTTTGGGTATTGTACATAATAAAATGTATCAGAATTTATCGATTTCTGCAACAATATTCTTTTACAACCTATTACAACTGATAAGTCAACAATAATTTCTCTATGAAGTGAGAGGGAGCAACTTCTTCACAAAAGAGTTATATTTGCACCAGTCACATAGACATGTAGATGATTTCTGAAGTTACGAAGCATCACAAGAGACCTATAATTACTTGCGGAATGGAGAAAAAAATTCCTAATTAAACAGCAGAAATATCACATTGCAAGTGATTCACACAGGGCAGCGTGATTTTTACTGTGGTCCCGAAAGATTGAATGTTGGTTAGTATCAAGGTGAATTCCAAGATAGTTTTTTTCTTACTTCCTCATGAAGCTAGATTTTTTGATCCAGCTCTTTTAAACCCTCAGTAAATTTTCGCAGTCAATCCTGAATTGTTTATTAGTCAATCTCTCCATCAATGCAGGTAACTCACAGTCGTAGCAATTTTATTAGGCTAATGAGAATATCAGACTTGAGCAAAAGCTGTCTCCGCTTACTAAAAATTCGTTGTCAAAAACGTTTTACAGAGAAAGTTGTGTTTCTTTTTACTTAGTTGATATATTCCTTTGCACAATTTCCTGTAATAGAGTACATATAAATTCGTCGTTTCGCCGCCTGCGATCAATTCATCTTTGAGAAGTGGCAATTTCATGTTGCAGCATCACAAATGAGAAGGCGGGAACCAAATGTAGGCCGCACTCTTAAGAAATTGACGCATTCGCTGAAATTCTGTTTAGATGGTCTCTGCCATAGATGTCATTCAATATTTAACATGTATATACCTTCATTGACCGTTTCTATGTGCTTTGAAAAAGGATAACCCGCTCCAAAATTGA